CCTCATATAGTTCTGCAGGTGTTTTCTGCTAAATGTATAAAAAACACATTAAAAAAATACATATCACACTTTTGAGTGACTAGTTTGTAAAATATTTCCATGTTCGTGGTGCATCTTTCAAATTACTTCTTGCTTTTCACCAAAAATGGAACATACTATTTAATAATTTCAAGTAAGAATAAAACACTTTTCCTTTAACATTTTATTGTTAAAGGGTTTTATTGTTAGAAGGCAACACTGCAGCTTCTCTGAGTCTGAACAGGTGGAGAGGAAGGAAACCAGGCCCAGGGGAAAACGAGACAGACCCTGCTGTGATAGGATTCCTGATTTCAAAGAAAACGGCTTTCTCGCTGCCACCCATTACACGATTTACTCTGTGATTTTCACACCAGCGAATGTGTCACCTACACGATTGGTTAGGACAGTCAGGCTGACATCCCGTGATGAAGATTCCTATGAATGCTAAATTCAGGAGAAAATTTAATGATGCCAGAATATCACATCCAATTAGGAAGCTTCCCAAAATGTACCCACAAAGAGTGACCTGTGTATCCAAGGCCTAAGACATTGCCGCCCCTCCACAATGTGAGTGTTAGAACTATCAGCCAACCAGCTTTCATATTCACAGGACAGACAAGAAAGGAAGACAGGCAACTTATGCTACACGGTATTATCCGACACGGGAAAGAGCAAGGGAACAGTAAACAGCAAGAATAAGTGTGCTGAGATCGTGACCTTGGCCACTGAGACCAAGAACGCAGAACTGAAAATGTCACTCTTCACGTTTCAAAGAAAATCAGGGTTAGAAATGTGGGTTATAACAAGGAAGGAAAACCTGGAAGTTACTTCTGTTTTTTTTTTTTTTTAAGATGATGACACAACTTGATGGCCCCCCCGACTCCGCCCCCTGCCGGCTTCCTCTCCTTCCCTCCGCCACCCTCCTGTGAAGGCGCCTTTCTTTGGGTATTTTCTCTCTCTGTATTTGGCAGAGGTGTACCTGGAGCTGGGTAAAAATGGTCAAAGCTGCCACTTAACAAAGTTAAAAATAGCCAAATACAACTGGTGTGGGAGGAGCTCTCTGCACTCAGGTTTGGACTCCCGGATTTCAACTCCGATGCTCGTTGCCCATTAGCACTGGGAGGGTGAGAGGAGCACTGTCAAGGAGAAGAGCTCAAGGCGTCTGTCCACGAGACAGTGAGTAAGCAGGGGAGCCCGAACGGACGTTCCAGGGTCCCAGCTTCGTCACTGTGGGACGAGGAACCGGAGCAAAGGGAAGGAGGAAGCAAATTAGGACAGAGGCCGGAACGGGCGGGCTGTGTTTTCTGGCACTCCCTCCTCCACCTGCGGCCTAAAAACACACAAGATGCTCCCAAGAGGTAAAGGCAGGACAGTGCGCTTTTGTCTCGTGAGGGGGTGGCACGTTCAGGGAGAGAAAGGTAAGGAACCAGGAACTGTCCCCATCAGCAGGAAGCTGCGGGCTGGGAGAAAGCTGGAGAGGAGTGGAAGGTGGAAAGGCAGGTGTGTGTGGGGACCGTGCCAGGGGTGTGAAAAGATGATGGCCACGCCAGCTTCCTCATCAGACACAGTCCCTGGAGCCTGAGCCCAGAGCGGGAAAGGGCTGGGGCCTTGCACGCCTTGCCTGCGGCCAGCAGGGGGCCCCTCGCTGGACACTTAACATCGGTCTACTTCTTGCTGGCCTCTGTGGGGTGGCTGGACCGCAGGTCACGTGTGTGAGACAAAGTAGGGTAACTCCATGAATTTGCTGAGAGAACGCTGACCTCAAGGGATAGACAGTGTGCTTAAAACGCAGTCTAAAACCGGACACGGCTCAACACTTCGGGCTGGACCTCGGCTGGATGTTAATACCACACTTAAAAACAAAAAACGTCTTCCCTGTATAACGCCTTTGTCTGCAGGGTGGTTGCAGAGTCAGGGTTTAACTTCTGTTCTCTTCAGTCTCGCCTAGGGAGCCAGGGGTCCGCAGAGCTCTGAGCGACAGCAGAGCCGCCCACCAGGAGAAGGTCAGCTCTGTGGCGAGAGGGGCCGCTCACGTGATTTCCTCGGCTCCTTCCAGTTCTAACGCTCGATGAATGTAAAATGTTCTCACTCACTGGCACAGGACACTCAGTATAACGTGATTTAATAGAGGTGACCCTGAGACTGTCCCTAGAAGCTGAACAGCGAAGCACAGCAAAGGAAATTAACGGAGCCCAGTGGGCACCGGCCTTTCAACAGTGTCTGTGCGTGTGGCTAACAAGTCCGTAGTCGTCAAGTCCCGAGTTAGCTAACAGCATTCTGGTCCGTAGCGACATTCCTCCTCTATCTCAAACCACTCCCCAATCTTCTGCATGCGGACAGGTGCGGACACAGGGAGGCACAGAAGGTGCAACCTGTCCACCTTCACACGGAGGACCAGGTGGCCACATGCACCCTGACCCTGGGGCAGCTGCAGGGAACTCCACCCTGGCTTGAACTGTAGCTCTCCTCCTCGTTCCCAACGACTGCAGGCGGGTTTTTCAGCCTCCCCACCCAAGCCTCGATTTCCTCCTGGCGAGATGCGGACAACATGGCCCTCGCAGGACTGTCGTGATCAAGATAGGGCGTCAGGGATGGGGCCAAAACATTCGCATCTATTAAGGTTATCAGCAACTCTGAAGGAAGAAGAGGCAGAGCGGACTCACATTTACATCCACCCCGTGCCTTCTTACACGAACCTCCCGCTTCCAGACGCTACCAAACTTTAAACCAACACTGACGTTTTGGCATCAAAAGCCAAGTAATCCTGAGTGGAGCCACAGGTGGGAATGCCCGTTAGTCATCTGAAAGACACAGGCACAACTCTTGAAAGCAAATACTGGCCGCTCCAGTCCCCTTAGGGAGACCATCCGTTTGCTGGGAATAGAAACGTCGGAGAATGAGTGGCCTCATCTGGGGAAAATGCGCACAGTAGCCACTAAGCACAGGCCTCTTGTCTGGGAGGCGGGGAGGTGCAGGGAGACTGGGAGCAGGAGGGCGGGCAAGAGCCAGGCCGGCCATCAGATCCAGACCATCTGCTCTCTGAAAAGCGGTAACAGAAAGACTCACTTCTCCACAGACTCTCGGCGGGCAACAAACAGGTGTCTCCGAAAATGCGTAGCCAAAGAGACTGCTGAGTGGGCCACCTTCTCTTAAAGATGCCTTTGCCTTCCTGAACTGCTGTTGTCATTAGAAGGGTTACTTTACTTTGTCAGGCTTAAATCATTTCAACGGGAAGAAAATGACAGCCTGAAAAGGCAGTATGTATTTTATGAATCTATTGATAGAAATCCTGGTTCCCGTGAAGTGAGGTGTCCCTGGACAGGCACTCCTCGTTTGCTACCAATCGACTCCTGGATTTGAGTCTCCACCAAACGAGAGAGAAATGCCGCGTCTATGTGGCAATCTCTCGCCACAGGTGTGGCCTTAGAGACCCCAACCCTCCCAGCCACGACTCCCAGCTTTCCTTCCCTCCCCCGGCTCCACTCTGCACCCTTCCTGCTATTGCACCTTGCATAGCAGAAACAGCTTTCTACGAGCTTTTCAAAGCTCCGCAGGATCATCAACCCTAAACGACGTGTTTCCATTTGGGCACAGTGCATTGTTCACACTGAATTCCCACTACCTTCCCCTCCCCATACCGCTATAAACTCTCTGATTCTCTGGGGTTGCCATAGTCAGCAAGTAAAAATCCAGGATGTCCAGTTAAATTTGAATGCCAGATAAACGCTAAATAATTTTTAACGTAATTACTTTCCATGCAATATTTGAGATAATAGTAACAAATTATTTCATGTTTATCTGACATTCAAATTTAACTGTATTTTATCTGGCAATCCTACACCATACGTGCAGTGCCATTTGGTTTTAGGTCCCATCTATTTATTAACATTTGGGTTGTAAACTCCAGAAGGGTAAAAAAAAAAAAATCTTAATTTACCCTTATTTGATGATGTAAGTCCTATGAGAATATTCAGAAAATTGTAATTAAGATGGGAGTTGTATAGCCATTTGAATATCAGAAGTACCAGGTATAAAATTATTTTAAGTATTTTCCTATCCTAATCTTCTCTTTAAAAATCAACTTCTAGAAATTGACATTGAAACAATATTTTTAAAAAATATATAACAATTTTTATTTTTATTAGAGACAAGGTCTCACTCTGTCACCCAGGCTAGTGGCACAATCACAGCTCACTGCAGCCTGGACCTCATGGGCTCAAATGATCCTCCAACCTCAGCCTCCTGAGAAGCTGGGATGACAGGTGTGTGCCACCATGCCCCGCTAATTTTTGAAAACATTTTTTTGTAGAGACAGGCTCTCACTGTATTACCCAGGCTAGTCTCAAACTCCTGGGCCCAAGCGATCCTCGCCAGTCAGCCTCCCGAAGTGCTGGGATTACACGTGTGAGTGACCCCACTTGGCCTGAACAATACTTTTCGGATAACTTTTCGGCAATTTACGTCTGTTACTTAGATTATTATTTATACTTGGGTGTTTCTCCAGAATAGCTGACAATTTTAGTACAAAGAAAATTTAAAAAATAATTCTACCACCACCCATCGCCAATTTTCACAATAAACAGGGGAAGATGTGACCACCTTAGCGAACCGAAAGAAAATGACCAACGTTACAATTTGCAATATTTCTCTTTAAGAATATATGGCAGCCAAAATAATTTCACAGAGTGATCAAAACTTAAATAGCTGCACTGAGGACACCAGATGGAATGTCTTGTGTCAAAGCACCGAGCTCATTATGCCCCAATACCTTGATACAAAGTCCCGACTCTCTGGAGCCAGCTCCATGCTTAACCAGTAGATAATCTCACTACCTTTTCCAAGAGGGATGGGGTGGATGGATGTGAGTGATCCGAGGGCCTACGACCACTCTCACTGCAAACACCCCATGCTGAACACTTCCCTTCACCAGCAGCCCTGGGAGGGCTCAGCCCATGGACACAGGCCACTGTGGGTACTAAGAGCACATGAGAAAAACTCACAGTACCATCAGGCAGCTGTGGCCTCAGACACCGAGGAAGAATCGAAGCTAGGAGAGAACAGAGTTGGGAGAAGGGCCCCTCGCTTTCCACCCCATCCCTTGCTCTCCTGCTGGCTGGAGCACAGCCCCCCCCACCCCCAGGAAGTAGGACTCACCGCCTGGGAGCCCAGAGGGCCCTCTTACCAGTGTGTGTGAGCATGTGCCTCTGCAGGGAGCTGGCCCAAGGAAAGACCCGGGGACAGTGGGGGCAGTTGATCTTCTGCAGGCAGTTGGTGTAGGAGTTCCGCTTTGCCCTCAGCTTGTCTTCTGGGGGGCTGCCCTGCTCTTCATCACTGGGCCCATGGTGGTCAGCGGCCACCTCATCCTGAGCATCCTCCTCTGTGGTCTGCAGAAATGGACTGAACTTGTTGGTGTCTGTGGTGGCCAGCATCTTCTCAATGCTAGCAAACTCCCCACTGGAGTCTAGGTCCACCCCGCCGCTGTTGGCTCGGGGCCGGCTCCTTGTCCCCCTTTTCCGGCCCCTCTTCTTTGATGAGCCACCTGGCCCCTGCTCCGTGGGTGAGGCCACCTCTGGGCTGCTGGCAGGAGGGGGTGGGTCGGTGGACTCTTTTGGGCTTGTGGTGGGGGCGGTGGTGGCTTTGGGGACAGAGCCTCCTAAACCATCAGAAGCCATGTTACTCCCAGTGCTCCTGGGTCCCGGTTCTGCCACCTTGGTTTTCAGCAGGGTGGGGGCCGAGGACACGGATGAGATGATTTGGGCGATGGAGGCCAGTGGGGGCAGCTCTTCGGTCACGGGGGGCTTTGGCAAGAGCAGGGGGGGCTTTGGCCGCAGTGGCCGTAGCAAGGCTGGGCTGCTCAGGAGGGTTGAGTTGCCCAAGAGGGATGGGCTACTGACAAGAGCTGAGGAGTAGATGGGCACGGCCAGCTGAACGGAGCCCTGGAGGGGCTGAGCGTGCGGTTCCAGGGCAGTGGCTGTTGTAACAGCCGCTGCAGGGCTTGAGGGGCTTTCCAGGATCCCACTGGGTCCCAAAGTCGCTGGCAGGGAAGGGCAGGGTGGTGGACAAGGAGAGGGCTGCTCACCGCTCCCTGCATCCTGGTCAGGCTTCTTGGCTTCGCTGGGAGCATCTGTATCCTTATCGCCTTTCCTGAAGTTCTTGGGGATGGACAGGTCGATGGGCTCCATGGAACAGTCATAGGGGACCAGGGTAGAAGAGCTCAGGAAGGAGACGTTTTCCTGCTTCACTTGGACCAGAGCCAGGCCCTTCTGAGAAAAGTCCAGGGGCTCGTTGAAGTCCACTGCAAAGCCACTGGGGGGCTCCAACTTGACCGGGACGTGAGGAGACAGAGGCTGGGTGGGGCCCCCGTGAAGAAAGCCATTTTGGGGCTCCGAGAAGGCTGCGAGGGGCTTGCGGTCCCCAAAGGCAGTGCAGCCTCCCTCCTCGCCCCTCCCGGAGGCTTCGGCCGCCGGCGCCTCCCCGGGGCCCAGGCCACCATCGGCCGCCAGCACATAGCTCTCGATGTCGTGCTCCGGCACGTGCAGGTGTTGCTTGAGGATGTGGTGGATGCAGTTGCGCTTGGCCGCGAAGGCGGCGCTGCACTCCTTGCACTCGAAGGGTTTGCGGCCCTTGTGGCCGCCACCCAGGCCGCGGCCGCAGTGCGTGCGCATGTGGATGCGCAGGGCGCGGTAGTGCTTCAGGTCCTCCCCGCACAGCCGGCACACGGTGTCCGGGGCGCAGAAGGCGTCCACCAGCTCCGCCGCGGTGCTGCTCACGTACTCGATGTTTTTCTCGATGTCCTTGCGGGTGGCCTTGAGGTGCTTCTTGCGCAGATGCCGCTCGCAGTTGGCCTTGACGGTGAAGGGGTAGTGGCAGATCTTGCAGATGTAGGGCCGCTCCCCACTGTGAGTGCGCAGGTGGCGGATGAGCGCGGCCTTGTCGGCGGCGATGTAGTCGCAGATGTTGCACTGGTACGGCGAGATGCCCAGGTGGGAGCGCACGTGGGCGCGCAGCACCCCGGAGAAGGCGAACACCTGGTTGCAGAAGCGGCAGGGGTAGAGCACCTTGCGCATGGCGGGCGTCTTCTTGCCACCGGGCGCTGTCATGATGGCCTTGAGCTCCCCCTCGGTGATCTCTTGCTTGATCTTGGCCTCCATGCTCAGCGGCAGCAGGGCCTCGATGATACTGTCCTGCTCCAACTGCGTCTTCATCTCAGGCTGGCTGGGCAGATCCACCCGCGGCTGCTGCAGGAAGAGCTGCGTGGCTGCGTTTGGCGGGGCCCCGGACTTGGACTGCAGCAGGTGCGCGTTGGAGGCCGCCTCCACCGAGCCTTTGAGGAGCTTCAGGGGTGGCGGCGGGAGGCTGGGGCTGATGCAGCCGGGCGAGGCCTGCTGGGCATTGATGAGAGGCGGGGGCGTGGAGGTGGCCACCACCGTCCGTGGCGTGACCAGGGGCTTTGGCTTCAGAGGGGGCATGTGCTTGACAATCGCCTGCAGGGGGGCGGCAGGGGCCTTGGAGAGAGGCGGAAGACTGATCTGAGGGGGAGCCGAGGCCGCCATCTTCAGAATCTGCTGGATGTCGGCCAGCTCGATGGCTGACTCTCCAGAGATGGGCTTGACCACGATGCTACTGTCCGGCTGGATGATGAAGCCCTTCTGGAAGGGCTGCAGGGACAGATGCTTCATGCTCTCCTTGGTTGCAGGGAGGACCGTGAGAGAACCGCCCAGGGAAGCAGCTTCGAAAGGAGACAGACTCAGCACGCTGGTGCAGCCGGGGTCCTGAGGTAGCTGACACTTGAGTGTCTGGAGCTGTATTGCTTGGTTGTCATCTGGCAGGGGCTCCTCGGTGGGGGCAGGCCTGATGTCTTTGGTGTGCTGCAGGCCCAGAAAGGCCAGGAAGATCTTTTGGTCCGGGGCGTCACCAGGCAGGGTCTTGGCCTGCAGTTTCTCCTGGCCCTGGTCCGCAGCAACGTGGGTCTGCTTGTGCAGGGTGAGCGAGGAGAACATGGGGAACGCCTTGTCGCAGGTGTCACAGACGAAGCGGTGCTGCTCGCTGATGCACCTTCGCAGGTTTGTTTCACACCAGGCCTGTGTGGAAAACACCGGCAAAAAAAGGGCACAAAGGTGAGGATTGAGAAAGAAATCACTAAACAGAAATGCAAGAAGTATTTGTTGTACGATTGCCCCAGTATACAGCCTTTCTCCATAATACAAAAGGGGGTGACTGCTTGCTTGCTAACCCCAGAATGAGTAAGGAAAGCCACAAAGCATGTTAAGAATCATGTTTGTTTGATGAATGGCGTCACTCCCCGGGGGTATCTCACCAGAGGACCAAAGTACATTTAAGTAACAATATCATGAAGGTAGAATTAATTCTTTTTAAAAATGGGTGCCTTCACTTATAACTTTGACTCAAAGGATACAAAAGCAATTCATGTAACCGAAACATTTGTACCCCTGTAATATTCTGAAATTAAAAAAAAAAAAAAAAGATTTCCAGAAAATAACTCTTCAAGATAGGAATCTGGCCCACTTAGGATATAAGGTATTGGTAACTGACAGTGGTAGCTCATTACTTACATTGGCAAAATATGTATTTGTCTATTTTTATTTCTTTTTGCTTGGAATGAAATGTCTGTTGAGAGAAAAGTCTTCGGAAAACCAAGTGGCTGTTACAATTGATTGTTATAGTGGGAATAATAAAAAGGACTTTGGTTAAAAAAAGTGGGTACCTTGCAAAACTAACTGGTGGTGACAGAGGCTGGAGAACGGGCTACATCTGTGACTGTGGGAGAGGGGACATTGCCTGGGAGGGGCATGAGGGAAGGTCATCAGGGGCTGCATGGGTGTGCACATACGGAACAATCCATTGAGCGTGAGGTTTGTGCACTTGAAGAGTTTCACTGTTGACACCTTCCATCTCAATTTTAAAAAGTGGAAAAAAATAATTTCAAAGTGATTTTAGTAGATGCTTTATAACAGCGGTCTGTCCCCCAGCACCAGGGACTGGTTTCATGTAAGACAATTTTTCCACGGAAGCGAGGGAGTGGGGGGATGGGAGGGAATGGTGAGCTATGGGGAGTGGCTGCAAATACAGATGAAGCTTCCCTCCCTAGCCCTGCCACTCACCTCCTGCTGTGCAGCCCAGTTCCTAATAGGCCACAGACCAGTACCGACCTGTGGCCCTGGGTTTGGGGACTGCAGCTTTATAAGCAGAGAACAAATAGGGTTTCTTTCTTACTCAGGTCAACAATGACCCAAATCATTTTTAATAGAAACTACAATATTGGAAATATTTATCTGTAATGCAAATAATAAAGATTTTTAAAAATGCAAATTGAAATTATGATAGGGTTGGGATGGTTTACAATTCACAACTTTAAATGCCAAAGCCCCAAGAACAAGCAGAAGGCACTGATGAGCTAGATTCACAGGCAAGCTAATAGGAAATTCAACCCCAAATAAAGACCACCCATCCCTCTTAACCCAACAAGCCAAGAAGACTGAAAGGGCCAAGCTGAATTGTAAGAGCAAAGGTGTAATGAAAAAGACAAATACCAACCGACAATATTTTAAGGACAGGAAACCTGCAGCTAAGGAAGTTTAGTCCAACTATGTGGACCATGGAGGCAGCTGCCAGTGGTTGCACGAGCTGATCAGAATACCTGAGAAATGCGAGGAAACTTCCTACAGGAGAAGTCAGTGAATCCTAAGTCATGGAAGCCAGCAGGAATCGAGGGGTTGTTCTGTATGAAAGGCCTTCCCATTGCATCCCTGGGAAGCTGTTTGTGGACGAGTGCATTGTGGCGCAGCAGTCCCCGATGTGTTCGGAAGGTGACGCAGCAAATGTCACATCTAAGAGAAGAGAGGGACAAGGTATGAGGAGGCAGCTGAGTAGAAGTTTCCACTGTCCATTAGCCTTATTACTTTTTTTGTTGCTTCATTTGAACTGAACAAAATAAAAATGATAGGGTATCAAGAATCCAGTCTGCATGGTTAGCACCAGAACTTCCTTTTTTTAAAATAAAAATTATATTCTACCAACTTCTGGGTATCAAATCTTCGCAGGCAGCACAAGATGTACATATGACCCAAACATCCAACGTCTACACCACGAAAAGACAGCTGGGAACCTGAAGCCACCGTTGCAGACCTGCTTGTTCTTACCCAAATCACGCAGTGTAGACAGAGGGATCAGAGGGAGAAGTCTTCTCCCTCCCTTAGCTCAATGGATTCTAATTACTGTGTAAATGTTTAAAAAGTCAAAAAAGCATACATTTATGTAGCATCTAGAGCAATCACATCAGCATCCCTGGCATCTGATAGGGATAAAACGATTATTTTAAATTCTCCAACTGAATTAGAAGTGACAGTGATTGTGTATTCAATTGTGATATTATCATCATCACTATCTGAAAGACAAGCATAGCTCTCATCTACTGAGCCCATACTAAGTGCAAGGCACCCTGCCAGGGTAGCAAGTATGGCAACCCTGGCAGGCAGGTACATGTCACGACCCTCATCTTACAGATGAAAACACTGCGAATCAAAAGTGTTAAGCAACGTGACTGAGGGAGTATAGCCAGTAAGAAGTGAAGAAGAAATGTGAGCCCGACTTCTTGCTGTCACTCCTACTTATCACAATGCTTGAAAGACTCCACAAATGCAGTCTACTTCAAAATCAAGACCCTTCGCTTTAGAGATGATCTTCGCTATCCTACATGTTCTGGGCCACACACATGCAGAGCAAACACCACCTCACGATACTGCCTCTGCTATTGACACCAGTGTTGACTTTTAGGTGTTCACTGAGGACTATATTAAAAATGATACAATAATTATGACATTATCAACATCCCCTAGACCGGCAATGAATACAGTGGCAACTAAAGCCACACGTGGCTGTTTAAATTTAAATTAATTAAAATTTCCTCAGTCATGTCAGCCTCGTTGTAAGGGCTCAAACGTGTTGGGCAGTGCAAATGTAGCACGATTCCACGACTGCAGACGGCCCTGTCAGACAGCGCTGCGTGCCACGCATCATTCCGTGTATCGACACACGCAGATGTATCTGGTCCTCACAAAACCTCTAAGGTAGGCTCTGTATCCCTATTTTACAGAGAGGTAAAGCAACTTGCTCACATTTGCACTGCATTCACCACAATGGAAACTTTTTTTGCTTTGAAATTCTTCTCTGAAAATAAAGAGATAACGAAATCACCCGTGAAGCAGCCAGACTCACTTTTACAAAGTGCTGAAAGAAGCGCCAGGTATTTGAAGCCGTGCTTGCCCTATCACACTGAGGCGGGCACGGCAGGGCTCACTCCCGCCACCCAGCCACCTCTGCTGGCTCCTCTCCCCGCCAAGATTCCTGTCGTCAGTCAACTGCACTTAGAATATGGGCTTCCCAGAGCCACGCACAACATAACGCTTCTTTTGAAGGAATTCTGCTGAGCTCACCAGTGCGGTCAAGGTGCTGGGGAAAGGATGGATCAAAATAACCCGGAACACTTTTAGGGACTGGAAATCCTCATGCTGCGGGCCCAGATGCCTGCGTTTCCAGAGGTCTAAGTCACAGGCTACGAGACAGATTCAGCAGGGAAGCAGAACGCACACAGCCCCTCTACGCGAGGTTGTTTTCCCGGCTAGGACGTGCTCAAGGCTCCGAGCTGCACACGCGGAGGGGAGGGTGACCCTTGGAGGCCGCCGAGAGCCTCCGCGCCGCCCTCCTGCCCTGGAGATGGAGCTCCCTCTCTTCTAGCACCCTCACTTCAGGCCCCCAGCTCAAGCTCAGCTGCACACTCCACGTGGTCACCAAACCAGCACCTTGCCACCCGTCAGCTGAAAGCTCTGTACGGACTGAAAGATGACAGAAATGTCTGAATCAGGTATGTAATGAGTATTTATAAATGAAATATGGGGTGCCTTCGATTTGTTTTGAAGTTATCTGGGTTGGGGAAGAGATGGGACAAACTTGGCTGTGAGCTAATAATTCCTGAAACTGAATGAGGGTACAGGGGAGTCCTGCTGTTCTCTCTATCTTTGTGTATGTTTGAAATATGTCTACGACAGAGAAATATCGCATAACGAAAGGCTAACGGAGTGGGCTTTTTTGCCTCTTTTCCTGAGCTTTAACGGTGTCCAGACCACTATCTGTAGAGGCGCATGTAGGGGCTCAGTTTATAAGAACTCCAGAAGACAAATCCCTACACGGAGTGCCCTCGTGGCACACGGAACATGAAGGGGCCGCTGTCTTAGCAAGACCGTGTTGCTTCCACCACACCCACCACACGAGGGGCTGGGGCTCGGGGCGCCTCCACAAACGTGGGGTTTATGCTTAGGGCAGGTGGGGCGCTCACGCCTCTGGCACCACCTGGTTCGGTACTTGATGAACCGCAGATAGTTCAGGGGCACTGTGGGGTCTCGAAGTTGGTCTATGTCTTCCCTGAGAGGCGAGAATGAGGAGGAGGGAGAAAAATCCAAGCCAAGGCCAAGTGTAAAGGCAGCGAGACCTGTCACCCAAGGATCCTGCAGGTATTTCCCCCCGAAGTCTACAATAATTCACTCTTCTTGTAATAATCAGCACTTACTACCTATATTTGTGCAGAGTATTGCAGAGTGTTTTAAATTAATTTTTATTAGTGCCGTGCACTGTCCTGGATGCTGGGACGCTGCAACACATACCCGTACTCATTTCATCCGAACAATCCAGTGAGATAAAAGTCAGTGAGAACGAACAAGTCTGTGGTCACTCGGCCACACCTGAAGTCCTGCGTGCATCCCCAGCACGCCTCTCCTGGGTGCAGCAGGATTCCAGCTGGCAGAGAAGGCTTGCCAATCAAAGCCAGTCAAAAGGAGAGCTCATAAAATAATTGATACACACCTTAAATATTGTATTTAACCAAACACATACCCACGGTATGTCTGAAACACATCATTATGCATTTAATGTAAATGCAAATGGATATCATAAAATAATGATCCTTACTATTGTGGCTTCTGTATTTACAAATTTGCCTACTTGCTAAAATTTATTTGTAAATCCAAACGCAATATACTTGTGCTGCTTCCGCGGTCATCACAGACATGTGCGGAGTCGTGATAACCTTGGGTTGCCTGACGCGCACGCTTCTAGCTGAGGTAGGAAGAGACTGCTCTGCCTTCATTCCAGCTCTCACTCTGCAAGTAAATGTCCTTTCGCTATCTATTTTGTGCCATGGTCTTCGAATTTTTGTGCCTTTTTTGCTGGTGATGTCAATATTTAAATTGTCCCCAGGCGTAGCATTGAAGTGCTGTCTGATGTCCCTGAGCAAATGAGGCCATGTGACGTGCCTTATGAAGAAAGCACGTGCATTACACGAGCTTCATCCAGGCACGAGTGATGGTGCTGCCGGCCACTGAGTTCGATGTTAGTAAATCAACAATGTATGTTAAATAAGGTACCTTCAAATAGAAACACACGAAAAACAAGGTTATATATTGATCGGTTGACAAAAATGTGACTTGAAACCCTCAGGAACCTAATCCTAGGAGCAGTGGTTCAGTAGTCACAGCTACTTCACAGAAGCCACCCACCACAATACAGAACAACTGTACAGACATTCGCCAAACTTTCTACGGAGGGCCAAGGACTCGTGTTTGAGTCTTGTTCCACTGACTAAAGTTCCACGTCATCGTTATTGCATGAATCCTACTCAAAATACAACATCTTTGATTTCCAGTTTTAGATTCTTTAAGTGGAGCAAGAACTTGGGTTTTTCACAAACCAAACTAAAGCAGAATCCTAGATTTTTACGATTATTTCTCTCAACTGTGCACAGGTAGCTTGCCTACCCTAAATTTGACAGCAGATAAAAAAACATGCTTTCCAATCTGCAATGCAAACAAGCCTTTCCAACTTAAGTTTCTACAGAGACTCTTCTTTTATTTTCTTAAACAGTATTTCACTGGCTTATATAAAATTTAATTAAATTACGGTAAATGATTACAAGTATTACTAACACTAACAGGCTGGGAAGAAATAATACCGACTCTCGGTAGCATGCAAGTCAACTACAAAAGGTGGGCAGGTGGGCTGCAAAACGTGAGCTGCAAACTTCCTGAGCTATGTGCCATATCTTACCAGTAAAATAATGTTTGAGTGTGTGGCCTATATCTGTCTGCTGTTTAACTGAGAAATGTGTATGTGTGTGTATATCTGCATATGTATTTATACAAATAACATACATTAGCATGTATGTATATAATGTGTCAGGTATATTATAAAATATAAAAATAGAAATTTTTTAAAAGATAGGGTTTTAAAAAGTTCTATCTTCCTCCCCATGCCCCGGAGATCCTCCTGAACACTCTCCAGTTTTGAGATGCTGTCTTCGTGTGTAGCCTAATGGCCGTGAACACTCAGTGTGACATCAGTAAGTAGGTTTGACAAAGGGAACGGAGAATGCCTCTTATCACGGCAGTCAGATTCAGAATGTGCTGTGCCTCTACGGCAGCAATGGATTTTTTAACAACATGGCGTCTTCATCACTTATCTCCGTGTCCATCTCTCCGTCTGTTCTCTCACTCGCTCTCTGATCCCTCCTCTTTCTGGACAGTTTCACACGCAGCAGGTACTCGGTGAGCACACGGCAAAGCTGCCCAGTACCAGTCACAGCTCTGCGTCCCTGTGGGAGGCGGCTGTGGAGCAGTGACGGGCAGGGGGCTGGGCTCAGGGACCACAGTCACTAGGGTGGGAGTGGGGAGTTCAGATTGTGTGACTGTCCGCATTTTAGTTGCCAGCTATGTAAAACTTCCCAAACATGCCTGAGATAAGATCCCCTCACGACCCTGTTAAAAAGGCAGATTCCCGGATC